ACTGAAACCTTCAAAGTCAAAAGAAAAGATTCAGATTAATTATATAGAGCTTCATAGACATTTCCCAGTTTTCCACATCTGCATCAGATCAACATCATCATCAGACAACATCACATTCACAAGTTGACATTCTTAAACATATGAATTCTATTCAGGTTCTGTTACTATAAAGAAAATATTCCTTTAAAATGGTACTTCTGAATACTTCTCAACTGCTTTGCTCTCTCTATAACTTTAATGCCTTTAGTCCTACTGAACCTGGACAAACTCTTAAAAAAAATCACACAAACAAACCAAAAGACTGTCTGTAAATTAGTTCTACAAATCCTGCCTGAAAATTGCAAATCACAAAATATCCCTCTCTTATCTGTTATTGTTTGTTTTTAACTAGTAACAGCTGATACCACATAGAAGATTAAATACATAAGTGGAAATATCCACTCACTCCTTTTTAAAATAAAACCAAAATCTATCATATTTTTAAAGTGATGGAGAATAGATATTTTCTTTTCTGAAATTCAGAAAACTATTCTTACAAATATACCTATTTAAGGGCAGAGCTGTTTGGAAACTTCCCTTTCAAAGAGAACTGCCTGACACATTTTTGCCATTTGGCCAACATCTTTTAAGCTGTAATACTTTCCACAAACTGAACAGCACTGAAGATCCACTTCTGGACTTCTTCCACTTATGGCTATTACTGCACTTTAAAGAAGACATTATAATGTTTGACATTATAATGTTTAAAACTGAAAGCAAATCTTTATCTGGATATTTCCCAGCTTAAACATTTAATTACAGAAAAAAAAAATAAAAAAGCTAAATTAACAGATGATGGTAGAGGCTGTTATTTAGATTTGTTTTATGAGATATTGGAAAATGTTGATCATGTATTTTCTGAAGTTTTTAAAGTCCTTCTGCTGATTACTGATACACCTAATCTTTACTTTTATGACTCGGGCATTTTATTGTTTGTCCAAGACTCCCCTGCCTTTTTTTTTGTTTCATAATTTGCATGGTACATAGAAAAGAACAATGTAAATACTCTAATTATATTTTTACTATGGATGATGTGAGAAATTTTCACTTGCTGAAACAATTTTAGGTTTTTTTATGTCAACTAAAATTTATCTGTGAACTAGACCCTTTAAAAAGTCATTATACTTGCCTGACGAGCTAGTTTGGTCCTATTGTCTGCTGTTCTTCAATTTAATTTGCCATAGCAAAGATCCTTCTCATTTGTTTATTGAATGACAATATTAGCATATAGAAGCAAATACTTCTGAGAGTGTAAAAGAGGAATTAAAATCATTATTTCTAATTCACTGTTTAGTAAAGAACTTGTTCTACTTGACCTTGCACAAACTGCAGAACAGTTTCATAAAAAAACAAACATGCATTACATGTTTATATTCTTTCCTTTTCTTAGAATAAAAATATTTCCAACTGATACATTAAATTCATTCTGAAATAGAAAATGTGAACTGATATAACTTTTATCATAAATGTTATTATATTTTTATTTGTAGTTCCAAACTATTGTGAAAATTTGTATTTCTTTATAATATATACTATACCTCATTACAATTATCAATATGTGTTACATAGGACTACAATATATTTCCTGCTTATCAAACTAAAATTCTGCCACWATCAGTGAAGTTTGAAAGTTGCAATGGATCCGTGCAACTGCAGATTGCTCTTTTTCTGATAATTTTTTTCCTTATAACTAAGTTGTCATAGCAATGCATGTTTAATACTGATGATTAGTGAAACTGATTAATACTGAATATTACTATCTATGAATATAGGTTCTAGAGTTTGAGCTCCTGATAACTTTCCAGTATTCAGATATGTTAAATTATAACTTCAGCAAATACATAAGTACAGAAGTCTTCTTCTTGCATTAACAAAAGAACATATGATCAGAGTTAAATTCTAAGTGAGATGAAGAAGAAAATAGCATTGTTTTCTCTGTAGGTGAGAAAGAAGGAAACCAGAAACAAAGAGAGATTCTTGTCTTCAGGGGATGAGAGGATCTTATCAATATGTATAAATACTTGAAGGAAGGATATAAAGGGGTGAAGCCAAACTCCTCTTGGTGGTGGCCAGCGTTAGGAGAAGGAGTAATGGGTACAAATTGAAACACAATAAGTTCCACCTCTGTAGAAGGAAATTCTTTCCTCTTCTGTGAGAGCCCTGGAACAGGCTGCCCGGAGAGGTTGTGGAGTTTCCTTGTCTGGAGATCTTCCAAACCTGCCTGGATGTGTCCCTGAGCCACATGTTCTAGGTGTCCCCGTTTGAGCAAGGAGGTTGGACTAGATGATCTCTAGAGGTTCCTTCCAACCTCAATCAATCTGTGTGATTCTGTGAAGTCTCTATAGTCTCTCTCTATATAAAACCTAAATTTTAAGAAGCTGTTTTTAAGAACAGCTTTGAGAAAAGCGTTATGTTGAACACATGATCTAAATGTTCCTTCCAAGGAATGAATGTAGTTACTGACCTAATAGATATGTTTTAATGAAGGTGTCCATTGATTTATTTAGGAGAAATGCTCATCCTCTGAATACATATCTTTTAAAATACTGAACAGTGATAAATGTTCACTTTGAAGTTTATGACTTTCTCTGGAGGATATGAGAAGTGCTCCTTCTTAAAAATCATACAAGCTCGGGAAAGAAGGGCCAGTTTCATAAACTAAACTTACCCACTATACTTATCTGTTTTAAATTATATGACCTATGTGTCTTCAAAAATGAACCAAAGTGAAGACTTTTCAGATAGAAGTATGGTGGCAATGGCAAAGAGAAAGTAACTAGGGAAATTTTAGCTTTCTTCTCACTCCACTGGTAAATGCCTTCTTCAGTAGGATTAAAGCTTGAATATCTTGGGAAGAAAGTAGAGTACACAAGCTGATGCAGTCGTACAAGTTATCACTTCCCAGAAAAGAAAAACAGTAAGAAATAAGAAAATACATTTATGAAAACTTTCCCCCTTTATTCAGAATGGATTGTACTCTGGTTAATGAACAAATCACTTTTTCCCTAGCAGCTCTAAGCTTCCCCTTTTATCTTTTCCTGACTCTTTCTCCTTTGTGATTCAAAGATTGTATCCTCTAGTGACTTCCAACCACAGATCAAGAAAAGCACAGGCCTTTCCTACTCTAAAAAATCAAGCACAGTACACACACAAGAGACAAAGATTCCTTCAGTGCTTTCTTTTCACTAATATTTCTTCTTACATAATGAATATCACTTTAAGAGTATTATCCTTAAGAGTATTTCAGAATATTTCAGAATATTTCAGAATATTTAAGGTTGGAAGGGACCTCTACAGATCATCTAGTCCAACCTTTCTGCTCAAGCAGGCACAACTAGAGCATGTGGCACAGGGTGGCGTCCAGGCGGGTTTTGAAGACCTCCAGAGTAGGAGACTCCACAACCTCCCCGGGCAGCCTGTTCCACTGCTCTGTTACCCTAACAGTACAGAAGTATTAACTGTCTGAATCTGGAGGTCCTTTGTGAATTGAGTGCTACTTTCTTGCCTACCATTACTGGCAAGAGGCAAATATAAAATGAGAGATGCCACAGCCACTTCTGGATAATAGCAAATAATAATGGAATGCTGACATTAAGCAAAAGCTGTACAGCTTTCCAGCTTTCTAGTCTATCATTAGCAGATATAGCCTCATTCACTTAGTTGTATTCCTGATTAAGTACAAGAATTAAAGTTTGCCAAAGTTCTTTATTAATAAGCAAAATCCTTGCTATGTTTTGAAATAAAAGACTGAATTAATTGCTTGTTCAGGAAAAAAAAAAAAAGTATATTTGTATTACATTTCTGTTTTACTGTGGTTGTTTTCATACACCAGAATATCATTTAATATAGCAGAAGTAGTGTCTGAATGGACTCTGAGATCAGCTGTAAGAAAAGATCTGAGAAGGGAAAGCTGGAGGACAATAACACACTAATCGGTGACATTTAAATTAGTAGTTGCTTCACACAGAGCTGCTGAGAAATCAGAAGAGGAAAAAACACCTCACTTGACCACATGAGCAGCCACAGCACTACTGACAAGATCACCTGCATGCAGCTGTAATGCAGGCATATTTTTCTCTACATCATATTAGCATACAGGAGAGAGGTAAACATGAGAAAATTTTTTGCTGGCTTCAGCAAACATCTTTACAAATATGATTGTGTTGTCTATATAGAAAAAACATTTTTAAAGATCTGAAATCAGATAAAAACAGGCAAAAGTAGAGACTAAATGCTCCTAGAAGGCTGATCCCCAAGAGATAAGAAATTAATATTTACTCATTGCTTGGCTTCTCATCACCTGAAATAAGGCAAACGTGTGTTTGATTTCCTGCAGGACAAAGATTTTTACAGAAAAGGCAGTATGTTTTTATTAATCTGAGAATTGCTCCCAGAATATGTAAACTGTTGGTTAAATAGAAGTGAACCAGTGGGAAAAGTTTTCATGCTTGGCCGTCAAAGTACAATTATATTGTTTATAAAAAAACCATGAATCCATAGGTCTCGTATATGGCTCTAAAAATTATCTAGTAAACCAAGACTTTGACTCAGTAGCACTTCTATACCCTGCTATTACTAGGTTTGCATAATTACCTATGTAGTTATTCAGCAAACCATCTTATTATCTGCAAGTTTTTAGGAGGATGATGCAATGGTTAGACTTAAATATTTAATTCTGCAAAAGTGACTACGTATCAAACAGTATTTTTTAAAAAAAGTAATTTTGAATACTCGGTACTGTGTTGATAGGCAACAGTAATGTGCTTCAGCAAATTAATGTAAAGTATTGAATTAGCTCTATGAATAGGTGTGTTCTAGGAAATAGAAAATGAAAAACAAGGGGAGATTGCATTTAAACAATTTATTTCGTACTATAGCCCAAGGATTTTTTCCTAATACTTTTCAAGTTGCAATAAAAATTATATGAAATATTTAAAATGCAAACAGGCAAGTTTACTTACTCTTTCTTGGATGCCAGCGCACAGCATTTAAATATGCATTACAGTAATGGAAGAGAAATTCATGCTTGGATTGGATAATTTTTCCTTGAAGCAAGGGCATCAGATCATGTCCATCAATAATTCTGTGTAAAAAAGCATTTCAGAGTCAGAAGAACAACCCAAACTTTCCCCTACTGAGCCAATATTATATCTGTGCATTTTCACTTCTTAAAAAAGTAAATCTTCCTCTGATGGGCCACCTCCAGTTGGTCAATTTGTATAAAAGCCTTCAGGCACTCTTCCCCCTTGGTTTCTACATTATTTAAAGAAATATTAATTTTACATTTTGCCATTAGCAATGATTGCTTCCTCATTCTTTTTTTCTCTGTTTTTGCTGTGAAAGTGACCAGACACATATACCTGCTCAAGCAGTTTTGGAGTACTCTAGTCAAAGTAACTCCAAAGAGAGATCTCAACTGTGCTGTGTTAACGTCCTCTGAAGTAACAGCAAGAACTCTATCCAGTCAATTATGGATGACAAAATTAATACAGAATTAGTTATTCCACAGATGAAATAAACTATGTTTGAAGTACATGTTTATGAACTATATCTATCCATACATATATGGATATGTATGGATATGGATATGTATATCTATCCATACATATATCTATCACATACATATATGATGTATTTACATATATATATATATACACTTACATATACACACATATTTATACATACTGTATATGCACACACACACACACATTTATGTGTATATATATATTTGTGTATATATATATAAATGTGCACCTATATATACATACACATATATGTGCGCCTGTGTGTGTGTGAAATTCTCTAACTGCTGCTGGACACTTATGATCATGCCCTGAAGTAATCAGTCAAATTACATTAAAATGCAGTTATAAAATAAGCAAGGCACACCATAATAGACACCATAAATATCTTAATTAAGTCATTGAATAGTTTAAATTAACAGACAGGAGAGAAAATTGAAATCTACAACTTTCACACTGCTTGAATTATAAATTTTACAAGACATTTTAAAAGATTTTACAAAAAGAGATTTTTTTTACCTGGTTTATAGATTCACAGGTTATTATTTTTTAAGAACTTTGAGCAATATCTTGTATAAATATTGTAGAGATGTTAAAACTCTTAAATATCTATGTTAATTTACATTACAACATGAAAATCTTTCCACATTACTGTAATTAATGTTTAAAAACATTGTAATACAGGCACTACCTTTACTTTTTTAAGCCATAAACCAGGCATCTTAGCAGCAAGTAGATACAACAACATTATTAAGAGTAGCATTCTTCTCAAAGGATAGGCAGAAAAACATACTGATATGTCTAAAACACTGGTGTCTAGTAATTCTGATTTCTAATTATATTTTTAGGATTGATCCTTGCTTGCAGGTCCAATTAAATTGGGAACTTTCCTACTTAAAATGTGTATTTTCTATTGCCTGGGTAATGCACTTTTGTGCCATGCTTATAACCTTAGTCACTATCACTTCGAAAGCAGGACAGTTGCATGTGTATTGCATTCTCTTCAGCCTCTTGATGGGGAGAGGGGTACCTCTAATAATATGTTTTCAATATTTCTGCCTTTCCACATTTGCTAATTACAATGGGGAATATCTGAGGTTTCTTTTATTATTATTATTATTTTTTTTTTTCTGATGACCCATTTTTAATCTTTAACAAAGGGTATCTCTTCCTTCCCTCTTTCACTGCCCCTTCCATTGAATGAAAAGAATTGTTTCTGTTATTTCTAATTGTTTCTGTTTTTCCTTAATTGTTTCTGTTATTTCTCAGGAAGAATTCAGTGGCATGGTATGGCATGATTCAGCTGCTAGATAAAAGATGATTCAGGATAATCTGTGACAAGTCACTCTGATCTACACTGAAGCAGTGATTACAGCACTTGGTCTACACAGAAGAATCATAGTGGAACAACTTGTAGGTGAAGGTTACACAAGTATATTGGTTTTTTTATTGAGATCAAAATAAAGCATCAGTGCTTAGCCTTCACTCAAGGAATATGAAAATAAAGTGCACGACATTTGCTACGTTAAAGACTATCTGAACTGCTTAGGTCTGATTGAGTTACTGATTGTTGGGGATGTCCCAGGTCAAACTTGACCGTTTTTCATGTCCTACACCTTTCTAGCCCTGCCATTTCCTTCAAATATTCAATGAATCATCATCAGTACAGTGTCTTTGCTTCCCATTGTTTTTTCAGGGATTCTTGATGCTCTGTGCTCAAAACCTGTTTGTGTGTAGTAGGTTTGTTCAAAGCTTATGCACTATGGCCGAATCCTCCAGATATTAGATTTGGATTGCAACAGGGTTTAGGTGAGACTTAAGATAACTTGTTGCTGAGCCTGACAAGCTCCTTAACAAGCTAAAACAAGAACCATGCAAATGTCAATAAAACACCTTATAAATTTTTTTAAAAAAATAGTGAGTTTCCTTATTAGACTTTAAGAAACTCTATAAGGAATTAATTTTGCTTACTTGGTAGACAGAATAAATCCTAGCAGAAAATCCTAGCTAGCATTTTTATGCGACTTGTTATAATGTAAAAGTTTCACTACACACACTAAGGTTTAACTCATAAAGTTTAAAATAATTTACGCTTGGTGGTTCTACAATGTTCACTCATGCAGAATAGTATATTTTTGATATGTTAATTTTAATTTCAATAAATAATTTTAGGCCATGATTTGGCAGCATGTTTTTCTTGGTGGTATTCTCTCATTCTCTTGATGCCTCCTGCAACAGATAGTGGAGGGGAGGAATAACTTTTATCAAGATTCAAGAGCAAGGAGAAAGCAAAGATCAGTAATCAGTGTTCAATGCATGCTAATATCTGATTTCCAATATTTTTGCATTTGTATTAGCGGGAAAGAACCTGAGAATGAAGAAGAGAATATATACACATATATCTTAATCGCTATTTATCTTGCCTGTGGTGCCCAGGTTTACTATCTGTCTTTTAGTTGCACTGTCCTCTTGACTCACTAGTTTGGTATTAGTCTGAGGAACGGAAAAGAATTTGGAATAAGAATTGATGAAGAGGTGTAGGAGGAAAAAACTTCAGGGTTTTGCATAACATGAAGAGAATAAAACCACTAAATTAAGTGATAAGATTTAGTTGAAAGGCCTGTCTGCAGGTTCAGCTCTACTTACGTACAGTGTTCCTGCAAAATGTAACAGAATGCCAATATACTACTGCAAGCAGAAATAATTATATTTAAATTCTAGTTTCTCTATCCATGTTCACATCATGATCAAAATGTAAAAAATGATCATCAAACTTTCCACAAAACACAGACAATTACAGACAATACCTGTCTGAGGGTAACTCTGCTCCTGCAAGTTTGATGACAGTAGGGAATATATCCATGTTACTTGTTGGTTCATCAATATGGGTACCAGCCTCTATCACTCCAGACCAAAAGAGAAGGCCTGGCACACGAATACCTCCTTCCCAGTTTGTTGACTTGCCACCTGAAAATAAAAGTGAGAATTACCGCTTTCTTCTTAAAAATAAATTCCTCTTCAAGATGAACCCCAAAAGATATATGATATATATTTTAGTACAAATAATGCTTAAAGACTTAAAAAGTCTTACTTAATATGTGATTGACATAACTCTCTATGAAAAACATCATAAATACTAAAATTAATGTCTTTGCAGTAATGTGATATTGTAGAGCGCTCCAGGTTATTTTAGAACATAATACACTTCTGAAAAAAATCCATGAAACAGAAGGGTTTGAGGATATGGTTAGGCCTAGTTTTGGGCCAGGCACTTTGAGACTGCTTCACATAAATGTTTGAAAGAGGAGAAATCTGTGCATTGAACTCCTGCCACAAACTGAATCCAACAGCAATTCCTGGTTCTAAAAAAACATTATGAGCCTATTCTTCCTGTATCATCTCCTTCCAAGTAAAAGGTCATAAAAGAACAAAATATTCCAACACAGTACTTCAATAGTTCTGTCTCCTTTGCTTCTTAGATCTTCGAAGAACCACAAAGATTGGAATCTCTTCAGTGTCAAGCCCCTGCCTTTCCATGTATACTCTCTTACTTTCCAGTTCTTTCACCATCTTTTCTATTTCAGAGTTATGGTATTCAGAATGCACTTGTTTTTTTCTCCTTCTTCCTACAGTTTTTTCACTTGACAGAAGGAGTTTGTAAGGGTAAGGAGCAACTTCATGAAGACTACCATATTTTGTATAGATTTTTATCCATTATATACACACAGTTTTGTGGCTGAAAAACCTTTCTAAAACTGATTCTTTGTTTATCCTTTTTTTTTTATGATTTTTATCAGAATTTATTATACAGAATAGTCGAGCATGCATAATTATGTTGGATGATTAGTTAATGAGCTGGATACCAGTTCTATGCTAATTTCCCAAAGATGTTTGCTGGATAATACAGACAAGCAGAAAACTCAAAGAGCTGATATAAACTGTGGGTAGCGGTAAGTGTGGAGTACTTTTTATTCCTGTACATCTGTCTCTACCTAGTTGTCCAGACTGGATCATTTAAATAAATTCTCTCTTTACTGTTTCACTGCTGTCTGTCTTGTGTAATCTGCAGACAGCAATTTTAAAATAAATGGTTAAACACATTCCCTCATGTGTTCCATTTCTTAAAACCAGATTTTCGATCATCTTCACAACTCCTAGGTTGACATTACATTTTTCCCGAATCATGACAGTATACCAGCAGAAAAACTTTCACGTTACCCAGGAACAGAGGGAGCATCCAGCAAAATCTGCCTTCCTGCTGTGAAGTACAAAAAGCAAAATGGACACCACAGCAGGCCTTTTGCCTTGCTTATGTCTCCAAAGAAATGACTACTACTTTCCCTTGAGAGACTAATTTGAGTATAATTGCTTGATATCTCTCAAAGTTAGGAATATCAGGGAAGTAGGGCAAAAATGAAAGGTCAATGTGGAAGGCTGTATTATCTGTGTCTACCTGTTTTTCCTGTCTCTTAGAACTAATGACATCACTACAATTGTTTAATCCCATGATATGATTATTGTTCCAGTTCTTTGGCTTCATTTTTCCTTTGAAAAATAACCCATGATTTCAAAGAAATGCTTGAACATAAAAAAAAGGGTAAAACTAGAAGGTAAATAAAAATTCTGCATTTTTTTAAATAAAAATAAATAAATAAATAAATAAATAAATAAATAAAAATCTCAATAATACTGTGTTGAGATCTGTCTTACTAATTTTGTCTTTTGTTTGGACCTGACAAGGCTGAAAGAAAGAAAAAAAAACCAGAAACTGGGTGTCTGTATATCTGCAACCCATGGCATAGCTACGTATTACTTTTGTTCCTTTAAATTTCTTCTAAGAATGTTTTAAAAACAGAATAAAACACCTCAGGCTGTATTTTCATACTTAGTTATTTATGTTTTTTGAATAGACACACTTTTCAGTCTCATATTTAACAATAGTCTATGTTCAGCTTTCCTGAAAAAAAAAAAAAAAAAGAAAAAGAAACCAAACTGCAGGAACAGCAAGGTACAGACATATCTCTCTGCAGTCATCCACAACATGATCACAAGTTCCATTTTCACCTCACTTCAAATCTCAGTTAAAAGAATACCTTTTTTTTTTTCTTTTTTTTTTCCTCCCTGTAGTTGAAATTGACTGCTATTACCTAACTCTGGGGATAGAGCTTATACAAAAGGAGAATGAACTAAAGGAGAACTCTGTGTCATATTCCTATTAATATTTTGAATGATAAAGTCTTTTTAAAAGTACTTCCTTAACAAACTTGGAATATAATCATACTACCCTTTCCTTCCTTCTTATGCCTATAAAAATCAGGACTCCACCATCTATTTATTCTTTTGGAGGTGACACTAATAAATAGAAATTAATTACTCTACCTACTTGGACTTCACACTACAAATATCAGGAATCAGAAGTGGTTGCTATTGTATGCTTTATAAAACTGTCAACAATTACTTTTTAATGGCAAGGCCACTTTGATTTATTAATTTTCATTTTTTTTTTAATGTACTTTTAAAATTTGTCAACCTGAACTGTTCTCATACAGGTGAATCTAATAAACATAGTTCATGCAAACATCTCATACATTTTTTTTTTTTTTCTGTCAAATGGCATTATCTCTCAGGATGGTTTCTGCTTTATTCAAAATTACAAGATGGAGTGATTATTTAGAAAATCTGGATCATTTCAGAGGATATAAAAAGAAAGAACAATTTCTGCTTCTCTCAAAAAGTAAAGCTCCCACTAATACCGCGTAGTCTGTATTACCAGAATATTGTTATATTATATATTAAATATATTACTTATATTTAATATTTATTTATATTTAATATTTAATTATATATATTATTGTATTGTATTGCATTGCACATACATATTATTGTATTGCATATGCAAAAATAATGGCCAATTTGATTTTGCTGTTATTGACAGAGAGGTAAAGACTTACTAAAGACTTTGAAAAAACACAGATTTAGAAAGTCAGGCCCAAGTCCTTAATAAATATGGATTTACTATTTTTTATGGATATTAACAAATAAAGCAATTATGAATAGGCACAAAGCACTAAACAAAATTAGTTGTTTAAATGGTTTGCCATTATCAGTGTTTCACCTCCTATCCATTTGCTTTAGAATTCATGACCCAATTTAGTTAGGCATAATAAGAGCCAAGTGCCTCAGGCAGGATCTGTATCCATTACAACTAAATGCTTCATAAATACATAGACAGGCAGAGTTCCTAAATTGGTGGTTCAAGGCACAATTAGTATATAGGTAGATATGTATCTAAAAGAAGCTGGCAGTAGGAATCACAAGAGATACAAAGTCACTCAACGGAAAACATCGTGAGAGAGGGAGATAATGTCTACAAGTGACAATGAAGCGGTACTTCTACTATCCGCATATAAAGTTGAAAAATGGCATGAAGAGGCAAAGTCRAGAAAAAAGTTGTTAATGAGGTCAGCTTTTGCTGTTATGACGAATGAGAAAGGAGAGGCTTTATATATTTTACATTGAAGCTAATTCAAGAAACAAGTTACTAAAGAATGAAATACAAATGATCACACTGTAATCGGATTCAACACACCAGGAGTACGAATACAATGGTTAACATTCATCAAAATATACTTAGAAATCCTTCAGACTAATTATCTTAAGTTTCCTGTTAATACAATAGAGAGGTACAGAGATGTACATCTGATATTCTATTCATTTTATTCTACAGTAGATAGCTAAAATAGTTTGGAAAATAAAGGCCCTGCTATTCTTTCATTTATCACAGGCCCTGGTACTCATGGGCAACTTCAACTACTTCTTGATATCCATGGGCAACTTCTTGATACAGGTGGTTGACGAACCAACGATGAAAGGGACACTGCTAGATCTGATACTAACAAACAGATATGGTCTAGTGGGAAATGTGAGGGTTGGAGGCAGTCTTGGCTGCAGTGACCATGAGGTATTAGAATTCACGATCCTGTGTGGAGAAAGCTGGGCTAGAAATAGCATTGCAGCCCTGGACTTCAAGGGCACCAACTTTGACCTCTTCAGGGAGCTCCTTGAAGGAATCCCCTGGGTCAGGGTCCTAGAAGGAAAGGGCGTCCAATGGAACTTGCTGATATTCATACACCACTTTCTGCAAGCTCAGGATCACTCTTACAAGAAGAAGGTCGAGCAAGGTGGGCAGGAGACCTGTATGAATAGGCAAGGAGCTGTTGGGTAAACTTAATGAGAAAAAGAGAGCATACATCATGTGGTAGAAAGGCCAGACCACCTGGGAAGAACACACGAACATTGTTAGAGAATGCAGAGATGCAATGAAGAAGGCCAAGGCCCATTTGGAAGTAGAGTTAACAAGAAATCTCAGGGACAACAGGAAAGGCTTCTAGAGGACCAGGGAAAATGTTAGAATGCTGCTGAATGGGAAGGATGCCTTGCTGACGGAAGATGCTGAGAAGGCAGAGTTACTAAATGCCTTCTTTGCTTATGTCTTTACCATGGACTACAAGCCTGGATATAACAAAGATAACTGGAAGAGAGGAAGACTTTCCACTGGTCAAGTAGGATTGGGTTAGAGATTATTTAGGCAAATTGGACACCCATAAATCTATGGGCCCAGATGGGATGCACCCAAGAGAGTTGAGGGAATTGGCAGGGATTATTGCTCAGCCTCTCTCCATCATCTTCGAGGGGTCCTGGAGAGCAGGGGAGGTGCCCGAGGACTGGAAGAGAGCCAATATCACTGCAGTCTTCAAAAAGGGCACGAGGGAGGAGCCAGGAAACTACAGACTGGTAAGCCTCACCTCTATCCCTGGAAAGGTGATGGAGCAGCTCATTCTAGAGAGCATCTCTAGGAATGTGAAGGAGAAGGAGGTGTTGAGGAATTGTCAGCATGGATTCACCAAAGGGAAGTCATGTTTGACGAACCTAATAGCCTTCTGCAATGGGATGATGGGCTAGATGGACAATGGGAAAGATGTGGATGCTGTCTGCCTTGAATCAGCAAGGCTTTCAACACAGTCTCCCATAATAACCTCACAGGAAAGCTCTAGAAGTGTGGACTGGATGAATGCACAGTGAGGTGAATTGAGAACTGTCTGGATGGCAGAGCTCTGAGAGTTGTGATAAATGAGGTCAAGTCTACTTAGAGGCCTATGGCCAGTAGTGTCCCCCAGGGGTCAGTACTGGGCCCAGTGCTGTTCTACTTGCTCATCAAGTAGATCRTCCAAGCAACCTGGATGAGGGGAGAGAGTGCACTGAGCAATTTTTCAAACTATACCAAACTGGGTGGAGTGACCGACACAGCCAGAGGACTATGCTGCCATTGAGAAGAACCTGGACAGATTGGAGAGTTGAGCAGAGAGGTATATTATGAGGTTCAACAATGACAACTGCAGGGTCCTGCACCTGGGGAGGAATAGCCCTAGGCACCAGGACAGATCACGGGTTGACCTGCTGGAAAGCAGCTACACGGAGAGAGACATGCGAGTCCTGGTTGACACCAAGTTAACCATGAGGCAGCAGTGTGCCCTCGTGGCCAAGAAGGCCAATGGGATCCTGGCTGCATCAGGAGGAATGTTGCCAGCAGGTCAAGGGAGGTAATCCTGCCCCTCTCCTCAGCTCTGGTGAGGCCAAACCTGGAGTACTGTGTGCAGTCCTGTGCTCCCCAGTATAAGAATGACGCGGAACTTCTAGAGAGGGTCCAAAGATGATAAAGGGACTAGAACATCTATCAAGGGACTGGAGCATCTCTCGTATGAGGAAAAACTTATCCAATTGGGCCTGTTTAGCTAGAGAAGGGAAGGTTGAGAGGGGATCTGATCAATATGTATAAGAAACTGAGTGTGTATGTAGGGACTAAGGTGCGAAACTCTTTCCAGTGTTGGCCAGTGGTAGGAAAAGGGGCAATGGGTATAAGATGAAACACAGGCAGTTCCATCTCCATGTGAGGAAGAACTTCTTGACTGTGCGGGTGACAGAGCCCTGGAACAGGTTGCCCAGGGTGGTTGTGGAGTCTCCTTCTCTGGAGATCTTCCAAACCTGCCTGAATGCCACCCTCTGCCATGCTAGGTGTCCCTGCTTGAGCTGGGGGGTTGGATGAAATGATCTCTAGAGGTCTTTCCAACCTTAAGCATTCTGTGATTCTGTAAAATACTAACCATATTTCTACTCCTAAAAGTGAGCTAAACTGATTAGCTCAAATGGGGATATTAAAATTGCAGTTGTTATTCTAACGAGAAAGCTAGAGAAAAGACCTTAAGGAGTCAGTGCAGGTACTGTGGATATGAAATAAGAAAACAATATCATCCCAACAGTCCATCTCTCTYAAAAGAAAAAGAACACAATTCTTTTAGGAAGGGATTCAGTTAGACACAATCTTTTTCAGATTTCAGTGTGGAAATGTGTAAATGGACATTTTAAGAGAATAAATCATAATTTGCATATTTTAAGTTATTGTGAATTATATATTATTGTTAAATAGGTTGCAAGTTATATATATATGTGTGTGTGTGTATATATATATATATATATATATATATGAATTCCAAAATTCCAAATTAACTAATAACTCAGGACATTTTTTTTTTTTGATAATCTGGATTTTGGATAAATCTGACTAACAGGTAGGAAACAGATACAATACATGGCCTGTGTATATTACTTGGCAAAATAAAGTTATCAGCAAGTTACCTTGATGCTACGATATACTAAATCTCTTATTATTTCAATATATTCACTTCAGTTTTGGAAGATGATAAAGTTGTGGAATAGAAATCCGTGGGTAGGACATAGCTACATATGCTTAAAATGGACTATGAAAATGGACTTCATACCAAGCTGGGTGAATATAAATTCTAATTCAGTACAAATGTCTTCAAGGAAAAGCACATTCAAGGTAAAAATAATCAAAGACTATTTGGTCATACTACAAAATTTACTGTGCACATCTATAATTAACAAAGTAAAGAGATAACAGACAGTATATTGAATGAAATGGACAATATTAAAATGCAATAGCATAAATTAATAGTGATACTTCCGGGCAAACACCAAGCCCAGTATTTGTCAAGACATTTTAAAAGGATACATTGTGCAATTAGAAATAGTTGATGAGAAAAATAAAAAAAGATATATGAAACTAGGACAAAGAGCGACTGGATAGACAATTCTTGAGGCATTGAATGAGGCATTTGGGGCAATAGAGGCATAATAAAAGTCTAATAAACAAAATTTAGCTGGGAAAGGTATAAGAAGGAACCTTATAAAAAGATACAGGAAGCCACTATTCCTACCTCAATGAGAAAAGGGCACTGAATTTTAAGAAGCTAGTCAATGAAAATATTAAAAGGAAGAGACTTCTCATCTATATTATGGAGTTAATTGCCAAAGAAGTCATATTATGCTAATATAGAAAGACTTAGTGGGGTCTGTTATTTAAGAAGAAAAGTTATAGTAGCTAGGGTTAAAGCCCTTTGTAGATTCTAAACTGTAAGGGTTCAAGTTTTAAACCAAAGTCATATTATTGAGAGTTAGGAGGAGGTCTTCTTAGGGATCTTCTTTATTTACTGAGGCTAATAACTGTTGGGGGAAAAAAAGACATTGGGGAAAAAAAAGAAAAAAAAAAAAGAAATCAAAGCAATCCTTAAACTTATGTATTACTTATATAACATCTTCTGAAAAACGAAAAACGAAAAGGATACTGAAGAGAGAAGCCAGGTCCTTTCCTACAGTAACTAGTTAAACACTATGTTAATTCCAGTTTTAATTTCAAGTGATATCCAAATTTATTGTGACTATCCCATAGTCAGAATCAAGAGTGATAAAAACTCCAAACAAAAATGACTCTTTTTTTTTATTATTTTTTGCATTCAATTTTGCAGTGCTAGCCTAACTCTCCAAACTCTTCTTAAGTTTTGTTATTGGAAGAGATTTGGCTGGATATGAAGACAAATTACTGAGTTCAAATTATGGAGATCTGTTAAGAGCTTTTGATTTCGGACAGAGACAATTATTGCTCCTGTACTGCTCCAGCTCTGACAAGAGGGTTAAGTGGCTCATCTCATATTTGCATTCATACAGAGCTCATACACACAAAGGTAAGTAATTGATATTGACTAGCACAGGCAAGTAGAAAAGGATCTCATGTCTCCCAGTTTTGCAAACTACTTATCAGATGAAGTAAATCTACAGCAAATGCACAAGCAATTGTAAAAATTGTCCTGCTTTTTTTAGGTCAACTGTTCTGTCAGTGCCCGAGACTTGAGAATTTCATATACCTGGTTTTCATTAGATCAGTCAGAGATGTATACAGATTTGTACTGTATAATACAGTATACAGTACAAATGTATACATCTCATACTGTATACAGTATAATGTATACATCTCATTGTACTTGACTTAATATTTAGAAAACATTGTGTATTAAAATTAAAATTAAAATTAAAATTGCTAACTGTATTATTAATTCATCACTTCCACTTTGGCCATTTTGAAATGATGCACATTATATCTATTAAACTGAGGGATGATTTGGAGATGGAAAGAGTAGAAGATACCATTGAATTTATTGTACTTTTAAATTGAAAAAAATATACTCAACTGATGATATAGGTCTTTAGTTTTAATCTCATTAAGAATGTTTGTCAATGCAATCATAATTATTAATACAATAATTTTGTTTCTTATATATTGTTTCTTCTCTTTCCCAAAGTATATTGCAGTATTTGTAAGTATAGCTTAAGTGGCAACTGTAAACCATTACATAACTCATTTATTTTTTTCCATAGCTAACCCTATCAATCAGATTTTCATTAATTCAGCTAATACCAATGGATTGAATTGTTTTTACTTTTTAAGTATAAATACCAAATTTTGCAGGAGTTAATAAAAAGGACTCCATTCAATCAAACCTCCTCAGGAAAGCATATTCCCTAACGTGTGTGTTTTCTTTTCTCTCCTTCATCATTTATTCTGTGTCTCATGTCTGACATTCTGTAATGCAAATACTTTTCAGAGCTTCTAAAATACCTCAGGCTGAGCCTACAGCTACAAAGCTGTATAACCATATGGTTTCTAATAACATAAAGCATTATGCAACACCTATGTACAGGACATTTTTACCCAGGTGTTAGGCCCTGTAACACAAAGAGATCTATCTGATAGTGTATAACCTCACAGGTTTGGCACTACCTGTTTTGTTTGTGCCGTATTTCTATTGTAGCTAATTCTATTGTAGCTTCCCTAAAATCTATGGGTCAGAAAAATACCTATAATCTGATGAAAGCTATGGGGACTTTTCATTTGAAAACCTCACTTTATTGTTATTGCTTACTATTTATAGCTCTACATTCTTTTTTTCATTTTGCAGATTTGCAGATGAAAAAAACAGGGAGGAGTGGCTCATATTCTAGAGGGCTATGCTGCCATTTGGAGGGATCTGAACAGAATGGAGGTATGCACAGAAGGAAACCTGAAAAGTTCCAACAAAGGGATGTGCAGAGTATTCAGTATATTTGGCAAGAAAGTCTTTGCCTGTGATTACATTTAGAATCACAGAATCACAGAATCACAGAATCACAGAATCACAGAATGGTTAAGGTTGGAATGGACTTCTAGAGATCATCTGGTCCAACCCCCCTGCTCGAGCAGGGACACCCAGAGCACGGGGCACAGGGCGGCATCCAGGTGGGTTTGGAAGACCTCCAGAGAAGGAGACTCCATAACCTCCCTTGGCAGCCTGTTCCACTGCTCTGTCACCCTCGCAGTAAAGTTGTTCTTCCTGGAACTTCCTGTGTTTCAACTTATATCCCTTGCCTCTTGTCCTACCAATGGCAGTCATGAGAAGCTTATTATTAAAAAAAAAAGAGTTCAGAACTTTTAGCCACAGTTATATTAAGCATTTGAAGCAAAAACAAGTAGTTTCAAGAACACATTTTAAAAATCAACAGAGAACATTCACCTTTATAAATGCCATTATATCCTCCATGGACTTCTCCAGAACTAGAGATTTCTTCAAGATGAGCCCCCTGGTCAGATGTAAAGTATACAAGAGTTTTACTGTTCAGATTGTTTTTCTCCAAAACATCCAGAATCTGGCCTAAAAAAAAAAAAAAAAAGAAAAAAAGGGGAGAGGGAACCGCACAGCTTTAATGTCTTTGGGAGATTTTTTTGTTTGGTTATCTGTACTATGCACAAATATTGTTTGTAATTATGACTTTTTAGTTTACATAAAAATATTATTATACAATTCCAAGTATCACCATGCAACATACAGCAGGGGACAACTGCAGAAAGTCTGTTGCAATCAAGACTATGGTTCCATTGCTGCAGGGTTTCTGGAAGTATAAAAATGAGAAGATTTGTGCACATCAGAGAAAAGGACTGATCCACAGAGAGCCAGTGACCTTTGGAAGTAGTTGTTCTCAATGAAGGAAACCCCACAGCAAGAAAATTCAAACTGTTGAGGATATCTGAAAGACTCACAGCATGCAGAACAAATCTGGGGGTGAAGCTGGGGGGTAAAGCTTTGCTGCCTAGCAACCTATAGAGGCAGCATGGCAAACATCTCAGTGTGAATGTTAGAATAAGGCTCTCCAAAAGAAAAGTGAATTAATGAATGGAATGCCTCTGGAAGCCTGCATGGTTTCATTATATAACCTAGAAATCAGTCACTAATTTCTGGTCATATATGAACAGACAACAACTAAGCTCAAAATTTGCAAGGCAATAAGGACACACATAAACATATATTTAAAAGAGGAATCCATATGGATATGCTGTGAGACACCGACGCACCGTAAGCTCACATTTCATTTACACAAAAGGTTCCTTAACACTACTCTGGCACTGTAGAGGAGCCTTGCAGTGCACATAAATTACTTTTAAACCTATTTAGAGAGTCTGAATTCTTTTAAGAGGGCTTCTGTATGAATGAGAGTGAAACCACTCTTTGTAACTTGCTCCAGAGAATTATATACTGATTAGGAATGTAAAATTATTGCGCCTGGAAACTCACCAAAGTATAAGAATGTGTTTCTTCACATCATCCTCCAAATGAGTTTTAACCTTGTCCTTCAGATATCCCACAGTGTATAAAGATAATTCTGTCTTCACAACCATTTTTTCTTTATCCTTTTTACTTAAATATCCGAGGGTGGTCCAATTTGAATGCTAATTTTGATTTGTTCATCTGTCCACTAAGAATTAATTCATCAGCTGATGCATAATTACTGTGTCAAACAGGATGAGATAAGAACTTAGAAATGCAGAGCTTGTTTCATAAAGAAGCAGCCTTCTTCAGCAATTTTCAGATCATCATTTTAGTTGCTAGGCTCCTCTTCTGGATAAGGAGTAGTTATCTCACCCTGCTTCTAATAACTTGTCTATTAATGCTATGGTATTTGAAAATTGCTTTTCTATAATAAAAAAAAAAAAAAAAAGGTTGAGTGCCTTCATTTCTTATCAGCTCAGATGAGTGGGTCATCAATAAAGGAATGTCAGCAGTTAACTAAGTGTTACTTATTGTTCTTGTTTGTAAACTAGGAGCAAAGGAGAAATTTAACAGCAGGAGAATTTGTTTATCTAAATTTTGAAACCTTGTGGGAGTTGAAATTTCCAAACAAAGCTGAGGAAAATCTGTTTCCAAGGCTGACATTTTAAAGCAGTTGAGTTAGAGGGAAATTTGGGTAACAGCTCATGCATACCCATCTGGCAAGTCATTTGCTTGCCTTTGCAGGTAGACTAAGTGCCAGGCAAGAAAGAGGCAATTTATCATTGGCTTATGCAATTGTTTGGACACTATACTTACTAAGTRGTGATGATGTCTCTTGGGAAGAGGATAATAATGAGAGAAAAAAAAAAAAAAAAGGAGCATATAGGCAAGATAGGATATTAATCCCCAGAATTACACTTCAACCTACATAATTTTCTGGTGCTATGACTTTAAACATAATGACATTTTACAAAAAAATAAATATTTAATGATATGCACAGCTTTCATTAACTTGGACTTTTTCATGCATTTAGCATATAAAACAAAATGAAAATAAAACATCATATTAAATGCATATGATAAAAGACCATCAATGTTTCCAGTAAGCAAAGACATCTGCGGTCATTCCATAGTGACCATTTTGATTTCCTAACTAATCTGGTAAAAAAAAAGAAGTAATGAAAAATGTCTCACACAAATAGAATTAGTTAAGTAAAATCATTACTTAACATCATTACCTTTTTTTTAAAAAAAAAAAAAAAAGAAAAGAAAGTGGAGTATGTTGAGTCAGGCTCTAGAAACAATGAATAATTCTAACATTGAAAGACTATCTGTTTCAGAAAAAAAATGATGCACAGATAGTCTCATCCAAAGCCTGTTGATTTCAGTGGCAAAAATTCCATTTATTTTATTTTGTTGTCTTTTTTTTTTTTTTTTAACAGAAAGTGATGCAGCTACATAAGGGCTAATTAATAAACGATAACTTATCTTAGCAACAATATTTTACAGTAAATATGGTGGTAATTCAAATGACACACGCTGCTATCAGAGAATGGACATACAATGCAGTCACAGAAATGAAGCAAGACTTCCATTTCTATTTTCGTCTTGAACACTGACATCTTTTGGAATGAACACTGTATAAATAAGCAATAAAGTGTGTGCTACCATGAGATAAGGCGTATTAAAGTGCATTTGAATGATGTGGTTACCATTAGCACAAGCAATATATTAACATATTAGCATTTCTAAATGGTAACAGAAGAAAAATACAAAGAATGTATTGTGGATATCTGTGAACAGAGTATTATATCAATTTTGGAAGCAAATACTACAAAGCCAGCAAAATATATTTTTTATGATTTTCTTTTCTTTCTTTTTTATTCTCTTCTATTTTTTTTCCTTAACACTTCCATTATTGCTATGTCTACAGATTTCAGTGAGACTTCAGAGTTAAGCTGCTTCATAAACAACTATTCCTAGGAAATGCCAGTCAATAAACAAGGAGACTAATCTAACCTACTACAGCTATCCACCCTTGCATGGGAGAAATCACAACTGTGAAATGGCCTTTTTTTTTTAATCTTTTGGTAGAAAAGTAAATATAGGCAACTTGCTCACAAATAGATACCTTTATATTAGACATCAGAGAAGTTACGATGAATCCCACCCAAACTGTTAACTGTTGGATATACAACTGCAGAAGCTTTAGTACCTTTTTAACAGCATGTTGAACAGAAAAAAAAAAAAAAGAAAAAAAAGAAAAAAAAAAAAGATGTATAATTTACAAAACTATTGAGCAATTAGAATTGAAGATCAAATCTCAACATATTGCCATTCTGGGAAAGTATATCCAACCTAGCCCAAACTTAAGTGGCTAACACTGAAGAAAACAAAGAAATGAGATCACTGAACACTTTACTTGTCTTTGTATTTTTTTTTGAATTTATATTTATGTATATTAATGAGAGCATTAAGATGCTCTTAAACCTTGCTATGTGAAATTAYAAAGAATTTTTTCTCTCTTCAAGTGAAGTTACCAATTTGTATAGTGCCAACCATGTGACAGTGAGGAGCAATTGAATCCATTCTTTGGGAGGAAACAGCAGTTCAACAGCTTGTTGAACACAATATAAATGCTAGATGAACAAGCCTTTCTACTACTGAATATAATTTATGAGGTTTCGAACTACATAAGACTCACTCTATATTCATCCGGGTTAGGATATATGGATTATAAACTATGGAAATTCATTTGAGATAAAAGGCAAAAACATGGATAAACAATGAAGTTTACAAATATGTTAATGACTTAGAAGCTTCTTCATAGGGTTAAGCAATCAAGCATATAGAATTGTTTATTTTTTTTTGTAAATCTTTTTAATAGATTAGCTTACTGTCATTTGAAATCAGTAAGAGAGAAATGTTAAAACTATTAACTTAAAAAAATTGACTATTGCTGAAAATATGAGAAAAAAGCTCTAGAATCTAGAAAAACTCTGTGTAACCTAGGCRCCAGGATACAATAGTCTCTCTGTTCTCACTTAGGACAGCTATACAGCAGTTTGCCTGACTCAAAGAAACAACAGGATTCTGAAGGACAGATATTAAGCAGTTGTAAGAGAACATGACATCTCAGGACATGACATTGATGATAAAGGGAATTCTAGAAAATAAAACATTCTTAACCAATTCCAAAAGCTTTTCACATGATACTATTGTACCTCGGAGATTAGAGGAATCTTGAGACAATTAGGAGACAAAGTGATTTAGGAAGATGAGCCATCACATCTCTAGCTGCCCAGAGGAGACAGATATTATTTTTGTCTATTCTCTCAATTTTAGCATTACCTGTTGATATTTCTACTACTTTTTGTTAATATTGCTAAYCAGAATCACAATAAACCTGTCTTCAACTGCAGGGGTTTAGCTCTGCTACTGGCAACCAATGAATGTTATGAATATGTGCATCAACTTCCAGAAATTATACCTATATGCATACGCACCTGGAAGCCAAAATTCCTTGCAGAATAGGTATCAATGCCATTCTGCTATACAGCCATCACCTCCCTCTGTTTATTTTTCAGAACCATTTGCTCTTTAATGCACTGATCTGATTACAAAAATCCAGTGACTAAAACCTTTATATCAAAAGCAAGCTTTGTAACTAAGACCAAGACATCCATATCTTAATTCTAGGTTTCACACATTTCAGGTTATAAATATGCAAATACTTCTGTGGTATGCTCAGAGCCATTCAGTTTCCCCTTGATAAATATGTAAATCATTTTGTCTCATCAGTGGGGAAGTAATTATCACTTTCAGACCTAGTCATTGAGCACAACACTCGAGGTAAAGATGGAAAATAATAAAACTATTGACTGCAAGACAAGAAGTTACTGCACACATGGTGAACAGTACATCAACTCTGCATGCCACTTGTTTAACATTCAGAGCTAGAATACAACCACAATCAAGTGGAAATTTTTGGAAGAAGCAATAGATTGATGTGATGGCACATTATTTAGTCAGTCAATAGAGCACAGATACCTAAGGAGAGAGGTGATTCTGCATAGAGGTAGCATATGAAGCTCAAAGGTGACACT